TGAAGGCTTGACCTTCCCAGGCTCAGGTGATCGTTTCCTGAGAAGCTGGGTCTACAGGTGCACTCAACCATGCCTGGCTAATTTTTTTATTTTTTGTACAGGTAGGGTTTCATCATGTTGCCCAGGTTGACCTCGAACTCCTAGGCTCAAGCCATCTGCCCGTCTCAGCCTACAAAAGTGCTGGGATCATACGCATGAGGCACTGTGTCTGGGACCAGCTCTTCTCTTACACTACTTAAGAAACATGACCAACAGATAAAATACCTGTAAAATAAGTTGTCTGATCAACTGTGTCAAGAATTTAAGAACAAAAGAAATTTAGGAGAAACTGTAGGTCAAAGTGTAAAAAAACTATAGTATAATGCAAAGAGCACTGTGATATAATATGACATATATATGATCTTTCTCCCTGGTTCTTATCACAGAGCACCTAAAAACTCTTGGAATTTCCTTAATGATAAGAGTGTCTTTTGCTATTCATTATGAGCCCCTTTTGATCACACCAGAGTTTATGCTAATGAGATGACTTAAGGCAGGGCTCCTAGACAGGATGGAACTGGCCACTAGAAAGATCAAGTGATGAGAGGGTTGGACTTTCTTCCCCATCCACCAACCTCTGAGAAGAGGGCTGGAGCTTGAGACCTATGCAAACTCTCGCACAACAAGATTTAATGAGCTTCCAGACTGTGGCAGTGTCTGGAGATTGATATGCACAGACAGGGCATGGAAGCCCATGCTCCCTCCACCATACCTTGCCCTATGCATTTCTTCCATCTTGTTCATCTGGATCTTTTGTAATGTCCTTTATAATAATCCAGTAAGGGTTAAGTAAATGTTTTTCTGTATTCCGTGAGCTGCTCTAGCAAATTAATCAAATCAAGGAGTGGGTTATAGGAAACTCTATTTAAAGCAGGTCAATCAGAAGCACAAGTCACAACCTGGGGCTTGCAACTGGCATCTGATGTGGTGGTAAGGCAGTCTTGTGTGAATAAGATCTTAATCTGTGGCATCTGATATTATTTGCAGGAAGATAGAGTAAGAACTGAATTAAATTATAAGACATACAGTGAGGGTCTGCTGGAAAATCTAATGTCAACAGTGTTGCGCTGAGTGGTGTGTAACAGTACAAAAATCACTTTTTTTCTTATTGAAACAGCATTAAAGACATAATGGGATCTAGTCCTGGCTTTGCTAGTGGGCTGGACAAACAGGAACTTACCAGAGCCTTGTCTTCCTATCTGCAAATTGAGAGAATTAGAATAGATAATCTTTATGGTTTTCTCTAGGTCTAGCATTTTTGAATCCTCAACTGCTAAAGCTTTTTGAAGAAAAGTGCAGGTGGATGGACTTTCCAGGAATAGTGAGTGAAGATGAGCAAAAGACCAGAGGTACCAATGAATTAAGCATGTGTTGGAAAAAATGAAGATAAAAACTATTAGCATTTGTTAAATGAATGTTGGGAGAGTGACTAAAATTAACTCCAGTTGCATAATAGTGCCAATTTATTAAAGGCTATTTGAAAGTTAAGCAAAAGGATCACCATATTAAGAAGATAAAAACGCCAGGCATGATGGATCATGCCTGTAATCCCAACACTTTGGGAGGTTGAGGCGGAGGATCACTTGAGGCCATAAGTTTGGGTCTAGAACTTATAGTTCGAGGCCACAGTGAGCTATGATTGCACCACTGCACTCCAATCTGGGTAACAGAGTGAGACCCTGTCTCTGAATGAATGAATGAATGAATGTTTCTCCACATTAAAAAAAAAAACTTAAAAAACAAGGTAAAAATGGTATTTTTAAGAGGAAAGTTCCGATAGTAGCACGGAGGACAATCTGGAAAGATGAAGAAACTGATGTTAGGGAGATAATCTAGTTGTTAAAGTAATCCAAATGAGCTAACAAGAAGCAGAAGTAAATCTGAAAAAAATATTTTAAAAAAATCTATAAGCTATAGAAGACAGGAGGAAGAAATTCAAATATTAAACCATGATGCTGTGACCTGAGAAAGTCAAATAGTGTTCATGTTTCTGATTAAAACTACATATTAGGAGCTTTCATAACTGGCCTCTGGCACAGTGCATAACACACAGTAGGTGCGCAATGAATATGTGTTGAATAAATGAATGTGGCACTGAGGTATATGGACTACAAATTAATACCAGTAGTTTTAAAGAACGCTGCTTGTTCAAATCTATCTTCACAGTAAACTCAACACTCAGAGTAATGCTTCTCAGTGTGCACTTACCTCTTTGCGGTGCACTCCTTCCTCAACTCATTTAGGGATTCCTTCTGGAGTTGAAGTTTGAGGTGCTCAGCTGAAAATGCACTTCCTAGAAAGAAAAGGAAGGAGACAATTCCACATGTAACATAGGATTACTCAATCACAACCAAAGAGGCCAAGCCCAAAATCCCTGACTGTAAGAGGGAAAGAAAAAGAGTTAAGGAAAGTAGGTTGAGTACAGAGATCTTTCTAGGGAGAGTAGCTAGAATAAATTTCCCTATTGGTCCAATTTTCACAAAAGTCTAGCCTCTGGCAGGAGCCTAAGAGTATATGCCTAAGACTCTCTATCTATAGATATTTCTCAATTACTGACTGAGAAAGATGGTCAATAATTGATAAGATTTTAAAATTCAAATTTCACTTTAAAAAATGAGTGGTTAATTCCTTTCCAACTGAAAATGCTATACAATAACATTACTGAAAGTATGTTTTAAAAAAGAGTAAAAAGTACCTGTATTTTGACTACTGTAATATAGTTCATAAATATGAGTAGTTTCTATGAACTGTCATCTTTCTCATAAATATCATTATTTATCGTGCCTGTAACCCCAGCACTTTGGGAAGCTGAGGCTGACAGATCACTTGAGGTCGGGAGTTCAAGACCAGCCTGGCCAACATGGTGACACCCCATCTCTGCTAAAAATACAGAAATTAGCTGGCAAGCGCTTGAACCTGGGAGGCAGAGGTTGCAGTAAGTCAAGATCTTGACACTGCACTCCAGCCTAGGCAATAGAGGGAGACTACATCTCAAAAAACAAATCAGTAGTTAGGAAATGTGTAATCTGATTTTTCAACTATTTTTACATCAAGACAGCCTGAATGTGAAATACAGGAATATTCCATATTTTAAATGACACCCTCATACCTCAATTCTTTTTTTTTTTTTTTTTTTCATACAGGGTTTCTCTCTGTCACCCAAGCTGGAGTACACTGGCATGATCACAGTTAAAGGTAGACTCACCCTCCCCAAGCTGAGGTGATCCTCCTGCCTCAGCCTCCCAAGTAGCTGGGACAATAGGCACATGTCACCGTGCCCAGCTAATTTTTAAATTTTTTGTAGAGATAGGATTTTGTCATGTTTCCCAGGCTGGTCTTGAACTCCTGAGCTTAAGCCACCCACCTGCTGTGGCCTCCCAAAGAGCTAGGATTATAGGTCTGAGCTACCATGCCCAGCCTTCTCACCATATTTAAGCACCCTTCTCTTCTCTTTCAACATATTATGAAGACCAATAAGTTGAGAACTCTGACCCCCAATAGAACTTAACCAAGGAACACAACTTAACTTTTTTAGCCCACTATATAACTTCTTCCCAAATCTATACCTTAATGATATTTTAAGACATTTAGGTTGACACCCTCCACCTCCACATACTTCATCAGAAAGCATATGAATTCTTCTACCACTAGAGAAACATGCAGTATCATTTTTCATCCCAGATAAATTAGGCTGCCTAAACTCAAATAGCATTAAGAAGACCATAAATAGGACCAAAGACAGATCTGGGCTTCAAAATACAAATGAGTGTCCCCCTCCTCAGTTCAGAAGACTCTAGAAAATGTTATTACATGACCTCCCCTTAAGAAAATTCCTTGCAACGTGATAGAAAGGAAATTTTAAAATATATATCCTAACCAGCTAACAAATGGGTTAAAATGTAACATATCAGGTTCCTTTCTCTATCAAAGCTAATGCAGTTTAGCAGGCTGGTCTCGAACTCCTGGCTCCAAGCAATCCTGCTTTGGCCTTCCAAAGTGCTAGGACTACACATGTGAGCCACCACAGCTGGCAATATATCTGCCTTTATATTCAAAGTGGATTTCTTGAAGACAGTATTTATTTGGGTCTTGGTTTTTGTTTTGTTTTAAATCTAATCTGGATAATCTCTTTTGCAACTAGGATGTTCAGACTATTATACCTAATAAAATCATTGCTATGATTAAATTAAAATCTACCATTTTGCTAGCTGTTTCCAGTAAGTTCCATCTCTTCTTTGTTCCTTTTTTCTCTCTTTTTAAATGCTTTTGGATTGAGTATTTTTTAGTATTCCATTTTTCTTCACTATTGGCTTACTTTTTAATCTCTTTAAAAAGTTTAATGGTTGTCCAGGAGTTTACAATATATATCTTTAATTAAGCATAGTCTACCTTCAAAAATAGGTCAAGCATACCTTATCCAAAATGCTTGGGATGGGAAATATTTTAGATTTAAAATTTGTTCAGATTTTGGAATATTTGCATTATACGTACTAGTTCAACAACCCTAAACCCCAAAATCTGAAATCTGAAATGCTCCAATGAGTATTTCCTTGTTGGCACTCAAAAAGTTTCAAAGTTTGGAATATTTTGGATTTCATATTTTCTGATTAGAAATATGCAACTTGTAATATTATACCACTTCATGTAGAGTATTAAAAAACTAAAAATAGTGCACTTTCAGGGTTTTGCCATGTTGGACAGGCTGGTTTCGAACTCCTGACCCCAAGTGATCCACCCGCCTCGGCCTCCCAAAGTGCTGGGATTACAGGCGTGAGCCACCACTCCCGGCCATTTCTTCCTTTTCCCAGTTTTCAATCTTCATATATTTTACTTCATGTATGCAATAAGCCCACAAACATCATTATTTTTCCTTTAGAAAGTTGATTATCTTTTTTTGTTTGTTTCTTGTCTGAGACAGAGTCTCACTGTTGCCCAGGCTGGAGTGCAGTGGTGCAATCTCAGCTCACTGTAATCTCCATCTCCCGGGTTTAAGCATTCTCCTGCCTCAGCCAACCAAGTAGCTGGAATTATAGGTGTCCACCACCAAGTCTGGCTATTTTCTATTTTTAGTAGAAATGGTGTTTCACCATATTGGCCAAGCTGGTTTCAAACTCCTGACCTCAGGTGATCCGCCTAAAAACACAGATATTCCCTTCTTCCCTCCTTCTTGCCCTGCCACATCCCTAGACCACTATATTCAAACTGCTGAAAATCAGAAGTGAAGAGAAAATATTCAAGGCAGCCATAGAAAGAAGACACATTACCTGCAGAAGAACAAAGATTTCCTAACCTATCCTCAATCTCTCTTGTGAATATCCAATAGAGGTCAATGCAGAAGAAACTGCAAGCTGGTAAGAATTGCCTTATAACTGCTATAGTCACATACTAGTCCATACTTGGTCATCAACAATTTGTTAAAAACTTTAGCTCAATTATTTTACCTTATTATACAGCAGCCCCAACTTCTTCCCATGCTCCGCCATTAGTGAGCAGTACTCACATCCGAGGTCTCCTCGGAGGCTGTCTGTCTTTCATTATACTCAACCTACTGGGTGGCCTTGAGATCCTAGTTTTCTGAAGGATTTAAGAAAAGTTATGACTTTGTACATTATCCAGTTCTTTTTTTTTTTTATTGTTAGGGTAGAAGTGAAACTCCTTCCATCTACATCTTAGGTAGAGGCTGGAAGGAAAATTTGAGGAGATTAATTTGATTTTTTTTTAAGTTCTCCATTCTTTGTACTTTCTACTTTGGGTCAGCTATTCTGTTTATTCAACTTGGTCTCATTCATGCTGTTTTCCTCAAATATCTGATGATCATTAGTGCTCCTTTCAAACCCATGAATAAGTGATTAGATTGATTAGTAAAGGCAACTGGGATACCTTTGTAGCTATGAGATTTACATAAAAGGCCTCACCCCTTAGTGCCATTAGTATAACTGAGCTCATCCTGTTGACAATTAGGCTTTCCTTCTGAGTATATGTGCTGGGAGAAGGTAGGTATACTTTCACTTTAAATTACTGCAACTGTCAAAGGGAGCTTCACATTGGGATTTTATTCTGGGTAGGTATTTCACTCCTGAGTAGACTTGTCTTTCATGTTTTCTTCTGGGTTGGCTATAAAAGTCCAGTCACTTTAGGTTCTACTGTGACTTTCTACCATGTCAAACACTTATACCATGGGACCTAACCAGGTCAAGAATCCATTATGTTTAGAAAGCAGCTACAGAAAATCTTACAGAAAGTTGCTCCAAATGCACAGAGGAAGAATGGGCCAACTAGCTCAACTACCCTGATTATTGCTTAAGTTAATTATTGATTTCAATACTGCAAAATTCCAACCTTGAATCCTCCGATGATTCTCTCTATCAGGAAACCTTCCTGTGGCCGTTTCCATTTGTGTTCTAGGCTACAGTTTTTCTCTACTTTAGTTTATTCATCAAAACAGTCCTATCTACTTTGTATCTTTGAGAACTGTGCCAAAACCTTTGTTATTCCAATGACATCCTCTTTTGTTTTCACCAGTACCATGGTTTTATTCTTTAAACATGTATCGTTATCCTCACATCAATAGGTCACTGGCAGAGAGAGGGAACACAGATGCTGGAGCTTGGTTCACCATCTTCCAAAGCTGCTTTGGTTCTGTCCAGGCATATATCAATGCTCTACTCTGTTAAATAAGATAGCCTTTCTGTTCAGCAAGAACACAAGTCAGGCAATATAATTTTAATAGCAAAATGTCAATGTTGGCTCCTATGAATATAATAGCTAAAGGGCCGGGCGCGGTGGCTCAAGCCTGTAATCCTAGCACTTTGGGAGGCCGAGGCGGGTGGATCACGAGGTCAAGAGATCGAGACCATCCTGGTCAACACGGTGAAACCCCGTCTCTACTAAAAGTACAAAAAATTAGCTGGGCATGGTGGCGCGTGCCTGTAATCCCAGCGACTCAGGAGGCTGAGGCAGGAGAATTGCCTGAACCCAGGAGGTGGAGGTTGTGGTGAGCCGAGATGCGCCATTGCACTCCAGCCTGGGTAACAAGAGCGAAACTCCGTCCCAAAAAAAAAAAAAAAAAAAAGCTAAAAACCGAATCTTGCTTCCAGCAACAAAATAAAACACAGACTCTTGGTTCTCTCTCATCAGAGTTTGGCCTAAGACTGGCCAATGGCCAGCTCCTGTCAAAATTACAGTTAAAACCAATAAATTGTCATTCTTCTGGGTTTTCTACATCAAGTCAGATGACCAAAAAGCAATATACTTGGAGTACTTCAGCTTCCCTCCCTGCAGAAATGCCTTTTC